AGCACCTCACGCAAGCAGCAGCACAAGGATTACCCAGTCCTCGGCTGGCTGGAGAGCCTCTTCGCCTCCCCTGTAGAACTCCAGATCATCTTCAGCACCCGGCCATGACAGTGGGAGCTCACATATACTCCATCACGCCTCCAGGCTAGCACAGTGGTAGCTGGATATGCAACCCATCAACTACATGCCTTTTGGTTCTTCACTGCCAGTATAGGCGAATAACTTCATCCACTGCCTTCACTTTCTGGAAACCGGAAGTGACTAGAATCTTTGAACGTGGTTTTCAGATTTCAAAAAATATCCAGATCCCCTTGCTGTAGCGCCCCTTGCGGGATCAGAAGAACTGTTGCCTCTTGTCGTGTGCATTGACTTCAAATCTGGCCAGGTTGTGTTGCTTTCTTGCTGACCAGCCAACTCTTGAGCGGACCGAGTGATTCCCAGATGTTTTATTTTATTTTTATTTATCTATTATTTTTATTTATTATTGTTATTTTTTTTCTATCAATAGGATAAGCCTCCGCCCTTAGGTCACCTGCTATCACATGCTGATTTTCTTCAGCCTTAATGGGGGTATTCATCTACAACTTTATTTAGGGCAATGCATTTTTGCATGTTTTCCTTGGACCTTCATATCTTTGGTCGTAATTCGTTTCTTCCTCTATTTCTTTATTCCATATTATTTACATATATTTTATTGTACCTCATGTCTCATATAAATGCTTTTCTTATTTGTTGATTTGTAATTTGCAAATTTACCAACGCGTCCAGTTGTTCTCCAGATGTTTTTTCTTTTCTTTTTCCTTTTTTCACTATCTTGCAAATTCCTTATCTCCACATGCTTGATAAGTGGTTCTTCTCTATCTCCTCCTTCAACCTCTCTTGACAAAGACTCTCCATATTGATGTTTGCTATGGTTATTTAGCCAGAAATCAATGTACAAATGCATTACGCACAAATGGCAGCATATCACCATGAAAGGGAATTATATACCCAATTTAAAAAGTGTAATGGGATAATAACGACGTGGCAGGATCTTAATATTCATAGAGTATTCCTGCTTTGTAATAATACCATCGAACAGAATTTCTCAAGATTAATTTGCACAAAAGCTACATCCGGCTTGTTTCTGGCGGTAATTACTGGTTTAGAGGTTGCATTACTAGTGTTGCTGTGTTGTCCATTGTTAAGCACAAGTAGATTAGGGGGAAATAGAATTACATGCAGTTGGAGAGAGAAAAGGGGGGGGGGTATATAGAGAGTAGAGGAGAAAGGGCACGGTTTGAGTCCATGTATACCCCATATAGACCCCTTATAGACCCCTTAGATACTTAAGTACGGGACGGCGTCAAATTCACATCTATATATCTATATATATCTATCTATCGATATATCTATATCTATTATCTATATATATCTATATCTATCTATATATCTATATCTATCTATCTATCTATCTATCTATCTATCTATCTATCTATCTATCTATCTATCTATCTATCTATCTCCATATATATCATCTATCTATCTATCTATCTATCTATCTATCCCCTATTTCTCGCACTATCTTCTATCTATCTCTCTCTATCTTCCCCCCACCCTTTCTCTCACTTTCTCTTCTCTTCTCTCGCATTGCAAGCGAATTCCTTGTACGGTTAAGAGTAATTGCTTGTTTTGATTGACGTTGATTGCTGAAGATGTGATCCTTCCAACTCGGTTTATCGTCCCTTCTCTTTCCTAGGACTTCAGTGTTGTAGTTCTAACAATAACGCTGTTGAATTAATTAAAGCGATATATTGGCATTGGTTATCCGTCGTTGCCAGCAATCTGCAGACCCACAAAAGAAAGCTCGACATTAGATGGCTTGTTTGAATTTAAATGATGTCGGGCAAGATATATGTTGAGGAAAATGTCATATGCATGTGGTCAATGACGCATGTAAGTTATCACGGAATGGCAGCTTTCCTGAGGAGATTAGAGTGCTTCGATTTAATAAAAGGTTTAGATAAAACAACGCCAGAAAAAAAAAAAAAAAAATATCCTTTTCGTCGAATATACTGGCAACGACATCTTGATTTTTTTTTTTTTTTTTTTTTTTTTTTTTTTTTTTTTTTTTTACGAAATCCAATCTCCGAATCAGTTCTTGTATTTCGTCCGGTTATAAAGTTTTCCAATCCTCTCCTGAACTTTGCTTATCACCGGAAAGGACTCCGCCCACTGGTGATGAAAGTATTATGTAGTGAACTGATGGTCTACTTGATAAATAATCCTACACATAAAATATAACTATAATTGCTTGTTTAATAACTTTAAATCTAGGATATCAAAATCCCATCACCCGCCATTGCAACCTTTAGTTTTTTTTGTTTTTTTGTTTTTCTTTACCTTTTTTTTCTTTTCTTTTCTTTTTTACTTTATTTTCTCTTACGATGCTCCGAATTCCCATACCGCCCAAGATGGGAATCACTTTTTCTTGGCATTCTTTCCCTCCATTCTCAGCTTC